TTGCTCTCACTGTCAGAAAATTTCTCCTTATTTCCAAGTTAAATCTCTTCTTGTTCAGTTTCCATCCATTATTCCTTCTCTGGCCTTCCGGTGCTTTGGAAAACAGCTTGACCCCCCTCCTCTTTGTGGCAGCCCCTCAAATATTGGAAGACAGTTATCCTGTCTCCCCTGGTCCTTCTCTGCACTAGACTAGCCATTTCCTGTTCCTGCAATCGTTCATCGTATGTTTTAGCCTCCAGTCCCCTAATCACCCTGGTTGCTCTTTTCTGACTTTTTTCCAAAGTCTCAACATCTTTTTTATAGTGTGGTGACCAAAACTGGATGCAGTATTGTGGTTTGACTAAGGCCGATGTTCTTGAAATAATTATTGTTGTTGTTGTCATTGTCATTGTCATCATCATCATCGTTGTTGTTGTTGTTGTTGTTGTCATTGTTGGTAAGTCAAGGCCCCAGTGAGATTTTCTGTACCATGAACTACATCCAGCAATGTTTAAATTTGGGAAGAATACCATACGTTTCCTTCTTTAAAAAAAAAAGAGAACAAAATATCCACATGATATCTCTTTATTTAATGTCATTTACTAGAAGCAAAGCGAAGCCCTGGGAAAAAAACGTCTTCAGGCTTATATCAATATGTATTTAAGATCGAATAAATGCACATAAGGGATTTCTAGTATCTGAAAGATATCTTGTTTCAGTCGCTGCCAAGAAAAAAGGGACTGCTGATATATATATTATTTCTGATGATGAATGTTTTGTCTCCAAGGGAGAATAAGAACAATTGTGTCCAGTCCTTGTGACCCTACAAAATTTGAAATCGTTTATTAGGGAGATGGTTGCTCATAACATAAAGATGAATCAAACTAGTTAGCCAGCATTATGAAGGAGTGAATCTTCCGGTGAACTTTAAGGGAAAGAAATGAAAGTGGGTTGGATATTTAATGTGTACAGAGATACATATAGAGATAGTCTTCCGCTTGTGACCACAGCTAGGACCAGAACTGCCATTGCTAAAGCAAAGTGGTTTTTAAGTGAAGCATAAATCTGATTCTATCTGGCCATCTTTCGAGATGGTCTTGTTGAGTGAATCTCTACAGTTAAGGGAATCATGCCGTCATTAAGTGAACCTGGTTGGAAGCAAGCTGGGACAGTTACAAATAGTGATCACATGAACCCAGAATGCTGTAACCATCATCAATACATGCTGGTGGCCAAGTACCCAAATTTTGATCATGTGACCTTGGGATGCTGCAATGGTCAAAAGTGTGAAGACCATTCATAAGTCGCTTTTTTTTGAGACATTATAACTTCAAAAGGTTGCTAAAAATGGTAATATGTATTTGGTTAAAAGAGATGCAGTGGCGCCGTGGTTAGAATGCAGTATTGCAGGCTACTTCTGCTGATTGCCGACTGCCTGCAGTTTGAGTTTTACCAGGCTCAAGGTTGACTCAGCCTTCATCCTTCTGACATGGATAAAATGATGACCCAGATTGTTGGGTGCAAGAGACTAACTCTGTAATCTGCTTAGAGAGGGCTTAAAGCACTGTGAAGTGATATATACAATCTAAGTGCTATTGCTATTATCTATACCTGGCCATCTAGCATTTTGATAGCATGCAAATGTAAGTAGATTAATAGATACCACCGGTGGGAAAGTAAGTGTATTCTGTGAGCCTGCTGGTCAAAGGACCACGGGGAGTGTCTTCAGACAATGCTGGCTCCCTCAGTTAAGAAACAGAGATGAACACCACTCCCTAGAGTCGGACAAACGACTGGACAGGGGAAATCTTTACCTTGTTTTGATCACCTGTATATATTGGTGCAGCACAGACAGTTGCATCACCCCTAAAACCTAGAATGGAGAAGTGGTGAAGCTTCAGCTTTAGACAGAAGTGGTGGAAAGGGGTTTCAGAGTTGGCCTATAGCAGATATTTATTTATTTATTTATTTATTTATTTATTTATTTATTTATTTATTTATTTATTTATTTATTTGATTTGATTTGTCAATTGTTTACAAGATAATAAGTATAAGTATATACATAGTTATGAATACATGAAATGGGTACATAAAAGAAAAATAAAAGAAACAATAGGACAGGGACGGTAGGCATGTTGGTACACTTATGTACTCCCCCTACAGACCTCTTAGGAAAGGGGTGAGGTCAACAGTAGACAGTCTAAGGTTAAAGTTTTTGGGGTTTGGGGAAGAAACCACAGAGTCAGGTAGAGTATTCCAGACATTGACTACTCTGTTGCTGAAGTCGTGTTTCCTACAATCAAGTTTGGTCCGATTAACCTTGAGTTAGTATCTATTGTTTGCTCTTGTATTGTTATGGTTGAAGCTGAAGTATTCATTGACAGGTAGGACATTGCAATGTATGATTTTATATACCATACTTAGATCAGACCGAAGATGGCGTAATTCAAGGTTTTCTAGTTCTAGAATTTCAAGTCTGGTGGCATAAGGTATTCTACATTTGGAAGTTCAATATTTTTTTTAAGGGCTTGCTTATTTGCAAAGCAAAGAATGTTAACTTAACAACACAGACAAGACTGTGGTGGGAGGGAGATGTAAAACAATACAGAAAGCAGTGGTTCTTTGGGGAAAGGATGGAGTTTGCCAAGGCCCCAATGCAAGGCTGAGATTTTCCAATCGTTTGCCCTCTTTCCACGGAGAGCCTTGGGAGAAGAGGAGGTCAAGACAGACAGATGATGCATCGCCACTGCTCCAAAAGCAATCTCATCGCTTTGAACAACTTTTCTTTGCCCAGCTATTGAAGGAAGGAGGATTTCTTTATGAAATGAGAATCTCCTTTTCAAGCTTTTGCTTACTTAAGGCCTTTTTTTTTTAATGCAAAGAAGCCGCACAGCTTCTGTATAAATATGACTTAAGAATAAAGCTATTCAAGTTGAGAAAGTGCTGCAGTTGGAAAAAAAATAACTTTCAGCACACGGGAATTTGTACATTTTGAATCTCTTTGGGGAAACAGTTGGATTTATAGCTGGTCTCAGGGGGAAAAAAATGTATGCAATTCAGTCATTAAAGAACCCTGGATGAACAGTAGAGGTTTCTATTATAATTCTGCTCCCATTTGAGACAGACAATAAAAATTCTTGTCCGACTTCCAGACTTCCATATTCTCTAAACCTTTCTTGATCCTTGGGAAACTGGAGGTGCCAAATAGATTAGTTATGTGTTATTAAATTACTCTTTCCTTTCTTTTCCTTCCTGGAGTGCAGTTTTGCTAGAAGAATTTCTTTAAAAAATCCCATTACCAATTCTGTTAGTTTACAGATTGTTCCATTCACCTTCATCTACCCTATTCATTTTTCAGCATCAACATCAGTGATGGGATTCAAATTTTTTTTACTACCGGTTCTGTGGATATGGCTTGATGGGCATGGCAGGGAAAGAATTCTGTAAAATCTCAATTCCCACGCCACTCATGAGGGAAGGTTACCACCGGTTCTCCGAACTATTCAAATTTTTGCTACCGGTTCTCCAGAACTGGTCAGAACCTGCTGAATACCACCTCTGATCAACATGCACATCTAAAATTACGAGGAAATGTTTCGTTGCATTGAGATACACTGGTAAATATCACAAAAACAGACACGAAACCCAATGCCCTTAGAAAATGCAAAATTGGAAGAATCCAAATTTCAAATTTATTTGAAAACTTGGCCAAATGGTTTTTAAAGGAAAGTTACCCTGATGTATCACATAAGATTCTGAGAAGAATTTCAATTCTGCAGGATCTTCCGGTGACCTATCCATTAGATCTAAAATAGTCTTACTTCTCTTCTAACCCTGTCTTAACGCTCTGCTGACATCTTGGATGCAGAGAACTTGACATAAAAATGTTATAGGACTGAAAAACAAAGCAGATGAGGACTCCTGCCTTTTGTTCCTGAAGCTGGTGGTTAGTCATCAGCAAGGACTTGACTATGTTGGTTGTGTTCTTCTGTGTGGGGAAATTTTTGTCACCATACAAAAGATTAACTTTGTGAAATCTGTTGGTAGAGAACAGCCCACCATATCTCAAACTGCAAGGCAAGCCTCTGAATTCTTCATTGTATGATGTCTATGGAGATTCTCAGTCATCCAGGTCATGGTTGTCCCAAAGGGGTTTCCCCCTCCCCCCAAATGCAACAAATTCTATGAGTATCACTAAGTGTTGTATCTTAAGATTCTTGATGAATGTATTTTTTTATGTACACTGAGAGTATATGCACTAAAGACAAATTTCCTGTGTGTCCAATCACATTGGCCAATAAAGAATTATATTCTATTCTATTCTGTTCTGTTCTGTTCTGTTCTATTCTAAAAAAAATCTAGTTGCCTTTTGAAAAGCACCTTTGGTTCATCATATGAAGTTTCCCTTGAAAACCCATCAAGACAAAGACACATCACTTTGAGAAGCCGGACATCATTAACAGAAATTGTCCATATCTTTTTACAAATGCTACTTAATATTCCAAGACTAAGATGTGCCTTCCTTCTTTCTTCCTCCAATGTCTCACATGCTGGACATTTCCAATCTGCTACTAGTTTTATTCCTCATCCTTCCTGCAATTCCTTTAACTAATCTAGGACCATCCGTACCACCATCAAACTTGGACATGCCGTGAGAACCCTAGGAGCTGATCATCAACCTTTCCTACAACCGCAGAGTGCAGGAATCAGCCTTTACTTGTCAATGTGAACTTCCTGCATGGTATTGCAATGATTTGTCCAGTCATCAAAGCAGGTGATGAAGGGAAGCATTCTGAGCCAGACGTTACTCCATTTGAAAGACAAAATAAAAGGTAAACTGGTCTCACACTGGTGACCCTACCAATGGAAACTTCCCATCCCAAAGTTCCAATGCATAAACTACAGGCCTATATTTGCAAAACAAAACCTGGAAAACTAGTCTGCTTCGTCAAAGCTTTGTGTCATCCTTGGTGCCAGATCTGACCCAGGGAAGACCCCAAATGCAACATAGGGAAGGTTCTTCTGTCTGCAATCTTGAAAGATCTCCAGGCACATCTTTCCAAATATTAATGCAGGGGTGTCAAACGAATGGCTCGATCTGGCCCAAGGAGTACTTAGATCTGGCCTGCAGAGCTGGCCTGGAAACAACAGGGCCCACAGTACCTCTGCTGGTAGAAACGGAGCTCAGGAGGGCCAGGTGTGCAGTGGTGGGATTCAATTTCTTTTTCACTGCCGGTTCCGTGGGCATGGCTTGGTGGATGTGGTGTGGCTTGGTGGGCATGACAGGAGAAGTTTCCTGCAAAATCCCCATTCCCTCCCCACCCCACTAACCTGCTTTCCAGCTCCGTTCTCCTGTGCAGGGCAACAAAAGAAGACCCAGCCAATCAGCTGGGACTCGGGAGGCAGAGAATAGATGGGGGGCAGGGCCAGTCAGAGGTGGAATTTGCGGGTTCTCCGAACTACTCAAAATTTCTGCTACTGGTTCCCCAAAACCGGTCAAAACCTGCTGAATACCACCTTTGCATGCGTGACCTCCCTCCGCGCCCCATTTTCACTGGCAGAGGGCTTCAGGAGGGTGTCACGTCCAAAAATGAGGTGAGGGGGTCCATGTGGTGCTACCCCGTGCTCTGTTATCACTGGCAGAGGGCTATGAAAACAAACTAAAAACAAAACAAAAGGAGAAATGTTTCTCCTTTCACATTTGAGCATGCAAGAAGGGACAGGAAGGGAGAAAGGGAAAGGGGAAAGAAAAAGATGGGAAGAGAGCAAGGAAGGAAAAATAAGTAAAGAGGGGAAGGAAGGAAGAAGAAAGGAGAATGAAGGCGGAAGAAAAAACAAGAAAAGGAAGGGAGGGAGGGAGGGAGGTTATAAGGAGAGTGAGGGAGGGTCTCAGGCAGGGGTCTTCAAACTTGACAGCTTTAAGACTTGTGGACTTCAACTCCCAGAATCCCTCCTCCAGTCATGTTAGCTCAGGAATTCTGGGAATTGAAGTCCACAAGTCTTAAACTTGCCAAGTTTGAGGACCCTTTGGCCACCACAGGTGCCTCCACCACACCACACCCACCCATGGCCACACCCACCAGTCCAGCCATGCCCACCCCGGCCCTCCAAGGCCAAACACAACCCTGATGCAGCCCTCAATGAAATCAAGTTTGACACCCCTGTATTAATGCATGAGGTTTCAAGCAACACTTTCCCTCTCTCTCATCACATACCTCTCTTCTCTTCTACACGGTGTATTTTACTCTGGTTGCCCAGAATGCCCACCTTCCTGTTTGGAGGCCACCTCTTACCTTTGCTAGAGAGATGCTTCCATGTTACTGTTGGTTCTGGTCTCCCAAAGGCTAAGCACAGGAGAGTGACGCTGCTGCCTTCATTGATGGTGATGTCTGATGAGATGTTTATAATCTGGGGGGGAACTGGAATAAAACAATGGGGAAGGACATCAGTACATGAAGCATTTGATGCTGATGTTAGTGATGGCAGGTTCATTTTTCTTGACCTATTCAATATGAAGAAGACGTGGTATCTTGCCAAAATAGCACTAGCAATAGATTTATATACTGCTTCACAGTGCTTTACAGACCTCTCTAAGCAGTTTACAGAATCAGCATCTTCCCACTAACAATCTGGGTCCTCATTTTATCCACTTTGGAAGGATGGAAGGCTGAGTCAACTTTGAGCAGGTCAGGATCAAACTTCTAGCTGTGGGCTGAGTTTGCCTGTAGTGCTGCATTCTAACCGGAAGGAAGGATGGAAGGATAGAAGGATGGATGGATGGATGGATGGATGGATGGAAGGAAGGAAGGAAGGAAGGAAGGAAGGAAGGAAGGAAGGAAGGAAAATAGCACCAGCAATAGACTTATATACTGCTTCACAGTGCTTTGCTGTCTAAGTGGTTTACAGAGTCAGCCTCTTGCCCCCAACAATCTGAGTCCTCATTTTACCAACCTCGGAAGGATGGAAGGCTGAGTCAACCTTGAGTTGGTCAGGATCAAACTGCTGGCAGTCAGCAGAGTTGGCCTGCTTTCTAAATGTTGACTCAGCCTTCCATCTTTCCAAGGTTGGTAAAATGAGGACCCAGATTGTTTGGGGCAAGAGGCTGACTCTGTAAACTGCTTAGAGAGGGCAGTAAAGCATTATGAAGCGGTATATAAGTCAAAGTGCTATTGCTGTTCCTTTCTTCCTCCCTCCCCCCTTCCCTCTCCCCTTCTTTCTGTGGTGGCACAGTGGTCAGAATGCAGTATTAAAGGCTAAGTTTGCTCACTGCCAGAAGTTCGATCTTGACCGGCTCAAGGTTGACTCAGCCTTCCATCCTTCTGAGGTCAGTAAAATGAGGACCCAAATTGTTGGGGGAAAGATACCGATTCTGTAAACTGCTTAGGGAGGGACTGTAAAGCACTGTGAAGCAGTATATAAGTCTAAGTGCTATTGCTATTGCTAACCACTGCGTCATTTAAATCAATAAGCTGAGTTCTAAAGTAAATGTGCAGCGGAACAAATCTGTTTAATTACTCACAAGGTGTTTCATTTCAGAAACAAAGATTAGGTTGCCTAACCATCCACTGATTCCACTACCTGTCACCTGCAGGTAGTCCTCAATTTAGGAGGACAATTGACCCCCAAATTTCTGTTGCTAAGTGAGACAGATATTAAGTTTCCCCCATATTACCAACTTTCTTGCCACCGTAGTGAAGTGAATCACTGCATTTGTTACGTTAGTAATGGTTGTTAAGTGAATCTGGATTCCCTATTGATTATGCTTGTCAGAAGGTCACAAAGAGGGATTGCATGACCCTGGGACACTGCGACCGTCATATATATGAGCCAGTTGCCATGCATCTAAATTTTCATCCTGTGACCATGGGGATGTTGCAACAGCCAGAAGTGTGAAAAGCGGTAATTAGTCACTTTTTTCCAGTGTTGTTGTAACTTCAAACAATCCCAAACTGAAGGATTGCAAGTCAACGGCTACAAGTAGTACATTTTATTGGCAGATCGCAGAAAATAGCTTGGAAAAAAACCAATCATTTTTTTTGTGTGTGTGTAAACTCTTCAAAAAGGTAAAGGTTCCCCTCACACATACATGCTAGTCGTTTCCGGCTCTAAGGAGCGGTGCTCATCTCCGTTACAAAACTGAAGAAGAGCCAGTGCTGTCCGAAGACGTCTCCGTGGTCATGTGGCCGGCATGATTCAACGCCTTCGAAGGTGCACAGAATGCTATTACCTTCCCACCAAAGGGGTCCCTATTTTTCTACTTGCATTTTTTACGAGCTTTCAAACTGCTAGGTTGGCAGAAGCTGGGGACAAGGAACGGCAGCTCACTCCGTTACGCGGCGCTAGGGATTCGAACCGCCGAACTGCCGACCTTTCTGATCAACAAGCTCAGCGTCTTAGCCACTGAGCCACTGCATCCCTTTTAATAAATATATATATAACAATATATATTGTTAGCAGAACATCTAAGAATCTGTTATGCTGAACATTTTGGGATATAATTGAAATACAGTGATGTATTTATCTAAATGCTGATCCTTGGTATTGAGCACATATTGTATGTTATTTCATGTGGTCCCGAACTTGGTAGGTCAGTGTATTTGGAGGGACCCTGTCCATTTCAGAGATGTAGGAACACCAAGTTTCTATGTCCTTGAAATTTCTACCTTACTAATATCATTCTTGATGAAGTTCTCATATAGTTTTTTTGTTTGTTTTTTTACCTCTTGACAGTCTCCATGGTGAGCAAGGCAATATTGTGATTCTACAATGCTAAATAACTGATGTTTAAAAGAAATATCTATTCCAATGCAGTCTACTTCTTGAATGCCCCACTATTAATTTATTTAGCATATGATGAGAACATGACAGAAGAGAAGTAAACATATACACACAGTCCACATAATTATCAGTAAAAACTATGGTGGTGTGGCAGTGGCCTCATAACTGGATGCCCAATTCAGCTATTGAGGTGATAGCCTTTGGGCAGAACACACACTCTTGTACAATATGTTTACAGTAATAGTTTGCATATCAGCACCACAATGACAACATGGGAAATCTTTCCATGATATAAGATGGAGGCACATCTTCCAGTATCACACCTAATTCTGTTCCATTTTGACCAGACAAAGCGAAGCAGGTCAAAAATCGGGTTGGGTTGGCAGAGGGATCATTAATGGTCAACTTGGACTAGCCCTCTCTAAAGGCATTCTCAGGGTTAAACTAGGTAGATGTTAAGTGAATGGCTGTTTTCCAAGCTGGCCTTACACGGGATTTCAATCTGCAATGCCCCACTTAGTTAATACTTTATATCACGTCAGATCAAATCCCATTCTATTGTTGATTGTTCCCCTTGCCTATGCTGTATTTTGTGAAGACAGATGATAGGGAACGAGAACAAATTATTATGAATTGCGAGGATATAAACACACACCATGATTCCAGTGACATCACAAGGCACTCAAGCTGTGCTCCAGTGGTTTATAATGATTGTTTCCAGAGCATCTCTCAGCTTGTGTATTTATAGACTTTTTTCCACTGCTTTCCCTACCCAAGAAGTAAACTGATTTTGTTTCGAGGGGCTTCTACAATTCTCTATAGAATATCTTCCCCAGATACTTACATTTCAAACTATAGCACCTCATTTGTGTCCCCTTTCTAATTTATGAACTGTATTAAAACCAACGTGTGCCTGCACACAATTTCTTCCTGTCTTTCTTTCTTGTTAGCCATGTACGCAAGGGAACATATATATCGACTAAGCCTCAATGCAGACATCATGACTTTATCACATTCCTTTCTGCAGGATGGTTTAATCAATGGTTGTGAATCTTGGTAACTTGCACAGAGGATTAAAGATACCAAAATATAAGAAGGACCAATTGTGATATTCACTTTAGGCATACGAAACTCAAATTCTTTGGCCACCTAATGAGAAGGAAGGACTCACTGGAGAAGTGTCTAATGCTCAGAATGATAGAGGGCAAAAGAAGGGGACGCCAGAGAAGGAGGTGGCTGGATGGAATCACTGAAGCAGTCGGTGTGAGCTTAAATGGACTCCCGAAGATGGTAGAGGACAGGAAGGCCTGGAGGAACGTTGTCCATGGGGTCGCGATAGGTCAGACACAACTTTGCAACTGACAAGAACTTTAGGCATTCACCAAGACCGGAGAAAGCCAACTGGTCCTGCAAAAACATCCATTTCTGCAAAACTATTAAGTGTTAATCCTTAATTTCAGATGATCCACGTCAAGAGACAGAATGATAAGTTGGTCAGTAGATTCCAGTTAAATCTTATGGGGAGAAAGTAGCAAGAATAATGAAAAATATTATGAGGGTTCTGGTGAGCTGTCCATTATGAGTTGGGTTCAAGCAAAATATGAACAGCCATCTACTTAGGATACATTAGTTTAGATTTTTATCCTAGGCAAGGAACTGGGGTTTATCATCTCCTTTCCACCTGATTTTGCAAATTTATTCATTTTGCCTTTTCAGCCCTGATAATGAATACCAGCCAGGGTCAGACAAACTGTTTCTTTTAACAGACTTTTACCTATCTTCATATAAGATGAATTTCCCTCTTTCCTAGGTACCACTTATCCAATTTTTGTACACAGTTCAGATAGATTTAGGATGAAAATATTCATCGCTGTCTCCTTGGTGACATCGCTATGTCACTGGATATGTCCCTGCAGCCCTGAAAGATTTAATCAAGATAAAATAAAGTGTGGCCTCCAGTCAACAAAATTTGCTGGCACCTTAGCGGGAAAAAGAATCAATGAAAACAGATATGGATAGTTGCTTGGCAACCCGCTCTGTAGTTTCTGTCTCTCACTCTCTTTCCCTCTTCCACCTGTTCTTGCTCTCTTCTAGAACAGGATTCCTGCTGATCACGAGACACTGGGAGGAGAGGAAGCCGTAGCAAACCATGTAGCATCTCTAAATCAGCTGGTTGTTCAGGAACAATTTGGCCTGCCTTCCAAGCTAGTTGAACTCCATCATTTTTCCCTCTGAGCTTTTAGTGCATGAGTGTAATGATGGATGGATGCAAGGAAGGAGGGAAACCAGCAAGCAAGCGGAGGGAGGGAGGGAGGGAGGGAGGGAGGAAGGAAGAAATTTCTATGGAGATTCTCAGCTATCCAGGTCATGGTTGTCCCAGAGGTGTTTTTTCAAAAGGCAACTGGACTTACTTTGTTTTTCCTTGAAAATGTATCACTCCTCATCCAAGAAGCCTCTTTAGTTCTGACCTTTTTCATTTGAAGAAACTTCTTGGATGAGAAATGAAAAGGCTCCAAACAAAAACAAAAAATCTCCAGTTGCCTTTTGGAAAAAAACACCTTTGGGAGGGAAGGAAGGAAGGAAGGAAGGAAGGAAGGAAGGAAGGAAGGAAGGA